CTGCGAAATTTTCTGATTTTACCAGCGAAATCTGAGTGATTTTTTTTCATTGAACCAAACTACTGCACAAGTGTTCGTTCATTTGCGAATATCAGAAAAACGAATAACGACTGTATTGAAATAGATATCTAGATACCTACTCAGACCCATTCACAACTTACGCCTCGCCGTGTAGGTATTGTACAGTAAATGTATTTGAAGTAGAACACTAGGTAGAATGTTCGCAAGAAGCTCTATTGCTTCTTGGGAAGGAGTTCGTTCAGGGATGTACTACCAAGTGCGTATGAGTAAAATTAAATGCTTATGAGACTTGTCTCAGGTGAAATGATGAAATTACAGGACTTGTCAACGTCGACTCATCCGTAGAACAAAGTTCTATAATGCAAGACTACCTGTTCTCAGGACATAGTCCATTCGTTCGTTCTTCTTCGCTGTGGATGTCAGATCGACCTTTGTTCGATTTTATATTTCCGAAACGAAATAAGATATATAAATTCTCAAAACACCTTTACGTAGGCCTTAGTTTGAATAACGAAATTGTTCTCGTAACGTTTTTATTCTCTTTTCGCTATATAATCGCATCGGACTCTGTTCTTCGGATGAGTCGTTATGTCTCAGGGTGACGGGCGCAGTGGCAGTGCCCCTCAGATCTTTGCGACTTAAAGCTCTGAGTGGCACTGTAACTGTTAGGGACAGACGTGCAGCTTACCAACAGTCTCTTGTCAGTGCTTATCAACAATGTCTTGAAGTTTAAAAAAATACTGCAACTGTTATGGATAGGCATGTCGGTCACCACCAGGTCGAGTATTACTTACTTGACAGCAAAGAGAACGGGAGTAGCCCCCAGATAGTTCAAAACTACCACATTGCAAAAAGAGGCAAAGGCGAATTTGGGGTCTAGAATTCATTTGATTTATTACTGTACTACTTACAAAACTATAGGCAGATATTGAGTTAACTCCACGCCGACGAAATTGTAGGTATGAAATAGTTACACCGCAGTGCACAATAACTTGGCATTACTGCAAGTGCTCAGCAGGATGTGGCATTTCACGGTCGTTTGTAGTCAGAAGATATCTGTCATATGTCGCATCATTAAAAATCGAGATTGTAATAGCCCTATTAAGGAAATGGCGAAATTTTGAAGATACAACTACAGTCTTTACAAAGATTATTTTTATTGTAAGTATATTATGAAGAACAAACGAAGAAAGAAATATTGATGAAGAAAGTTAGAACTATATTCCTTGTAACCAAATTACAAAAGATTTTATCCTGAAAATTCCATAAATTACGAATTCAAAGTTTTTGTTGCGTGTGATAGACAGAAGATATTGCGATTTAAGTGAAAGCGAAAACATAAATATTGACTCCCGCCGCTTAAAAGACTATGTAAAAACCCAAATAATTGAACTAAGTTACTATATGAGAAATCGAACACATAATGTACTAAGACTATTATGGAAAATATTACTGAGTATTCCGATAATTAAACGAAGACATGCCTCGAAGGACTTGATGCGGGTGGACTCAAACCAGCAGTGTGTGCACTGTTCGGTCTTTGTATTAATATTATTTCTCTAACATGCTCGGATATTTCCAGTGATTTAGGTACTTTCAAAAAATGACCACGGAAATTTTGTATGGACCGTGCGACTTTTTCCCGGGTTACTGCTCTAAACTTAAATCTATTTATAATAATGAATATATATCGCCATCCCCGGAGAACAAAAAGATAACTGCCATTATCACAGTTTTAGTGTTATATCATATTTAATATCTCATCATCAATACACCTTTTCAATTTTTTTCGTGATTTTTAAGCGGTTACTTACGGAATAACAAAATAATACAATATTATGCAAATTATCTACTTATGCCCAAGTGCACAAGAATAAGGTTATATGATAATATTAAACTAAATGAGTTACGTTTCTTAATATGACAAATGACAATAGAATTATGTTCTCGTTAAAATAATTACACGAAATAACGATACACGCAGTTATCATATTTTATTCCCGTTTCAAACTGTTCGGGTTATTCGTATAATAAAGCAAAATAAAGCAAAAGTTGATTATCATATCATGGTTTCATTATAACAGCAGAATAAAAGACCTTTCCAAAAAAATATCTTACTATGTTTACGAGAATAAGATGATATGTAATTATTATCTTCGCCACTTGTATTATTGCAACCCGTAGAATACAATGATAAGTCGACGGTGCAATAGTTGTTTTCGGTTCAGACACAACGAGAATAAAATGATAATCGACAATATAAATCCCACATGAAGATTGATTTTGACTATGTATTTATTTATTATTGAAATATCTCCATTTTGGCTTAACATACGACTGTTCCATTTATGATACAGAATGCACAAAAATATTCTTTCCTTAAGACTAACTATTAATCTACCTACGTTAAGAACTTACCAATGAAAACATATTTTTTATTTTTCCTGAAATATTACTTTGTTGCGATTATAGGCAAAAAATAAACTCATACAGTCAACTGCCAAGTTACGAACAATTCGTAATTACGAGAATTAAACACTATAGAAAACACTATTTATAAAAAAGACGTTAAAATAAACTAAAGTGCTTCTTTGAGTTTTCGTCGCGAAAATAAATTCTAGTGAGAAGAGTGGTTACGAAAATTAAAGTAATGGATACACATTCAACCGCAAAATTTCAGCATACTACTATTAAAATGTCTGGAAAAACAAAACTTAATTCATAAATTACTCATTGTGTAACAAACAATGCCATCTAATGACATACATATTCGTCAAAGGTCAAAAAATAACTTTAGCTCAATATTGGAATAATGAATAATTATTACAAGGGAAGAAATCGACGTCTCAATTTTCATATCTAAGACGAAATTAATTGACTTCCGTCTTATGTCTAGATGGCGCTGATCAATAACCTGGAAGTAGTTGTTTATTTATTTTTGAAATGGTTAATTACTTAAATAATTATAAACTACTTCCAGGCTAATTGATCAACGCACTCTAGATATAAGACGGAATTTGACCTTTATTAGTAGAAAGTTTGTACCTATGGAGACTAGCAGTCCTCTTGAGTCTGAGGGTCGTATTCGAGAACTCTACTCAATGCTCAAGTCCGGACTTGAGTATGATTTAAACCACTAGAAATCATACTCAAACCCTTGCCATTAGGGTCGTATTTCCAGTGCTTGAAATCATACTCAAGTCCTGACTTAAGCATTGAGTAGAGTTCTAGAATACGACCCTTAGAGGATTGAATCTTGAGTACGTACGTACAGGTGTAACAGAATTTGTGAATTCACCTTTATTGGATCAACCAATTAAAAAATTAAAGCAATAAAATTAATTTTGCTGTAACCAATACCAAGCTCCGTAGACGCACATCCTAACGTCAACTGTTACGTTTTTTTTACTATTTGTTTCCATTTATATTTGCTAGTGCAAAAGAAATCGCTGTCATATATTCAAATAGCATCATCTCGCTCTAACCTAAGAACAAAATCTCAAACTCATCGGACTGTCAGTAATTTCGGAAAATGTAAACATACGTATTGTATTGATTAGTTATATTTTTATCACATTTTATTGACCCGTGTCGAAGTAACAGTTGCAAAATGGACCAAGATACTGCGAAGAAGTTACTCGTCGAAGGAGGGACGTTTGTGTTTCTTGGTGTGCCTCAGGAGACACAGTTTGGTATTGATATGCAATGCTGGAACACCGAAGAAGATTTTCGCGGCATAAAAATGATACCGCCCGGTTTGCATTACATACACTATTCTGCCGTCAGCAAAGGGACTGGCGACGTCTCACCAAGGTAAGTCCAATCTAATAATAATTATTATGGTACCTCGGTTTTACAATATATATTACACTTGTTATTGCTGAACATTGTGGAAGCCCAGCTTAAGATGGCCTCCGTTGCCCGCCCCCATGTGGAGGCGGGCAATGGCCAAGGGCGGTATATAAACAACATCAACAGAGGGTTGAAATGCCAGGGGTCAAATTAATTTAACTTTGGTAAAGTAAAAGAGCATGTTAACCTTTGCCAATGGAAGATGGAAATTATGAATTCATTTTACAGATCAGGTTTCATGCACTACTTTCAAAAGAAAGAATTTCTGGTGAAAATGTGGGACAAAAAGACCGAAGACATGAGTAAAGAAGAAATAAGTGATGAGAGTATCCAACGCCTCAAAGATAATCTCTTAAACTTAGACAGGCACTTGGCTCCATATCCTTACGAAATTTGGCAGAAATGGAAACTTCTTTGTTCTCAAATTACAGGTAAATATTGTAACTTTATTGGTGATATTTAGGTAGTGTCAATTTTTAAAACATGAAATTGTAAGAAGAGATACATGGTACTTGGTGCAAAGGGCTGATATCCGCAACTCGACGACAAGGCGCCTATTTTGCGTGTGGTGGGTGCAGGGTCGTACTCATGCCACCCGAGATTGAAAAGGTGTTTATTGTATGGACCATGACCCCTTAGGGCGGCAGTTAGAGTGCGATGCTCTTGCCTTTTAAGTTTAATTAATATTCGAGATAGACTGGCATTGAGCGTTGGGAGTGCCTCCCTGGCCTGTCTACAAACTATAAGGGTGGTCCATGTATTATTATGTGAAGATTTTGTACCTTTGTGTATAGTCGTTCTGGACCATTGATAGGGGAGGGACACTATGGGTTCTGGTCCTACAGCGTCTGTCTCTGACCCTTTTCTGGCTAGTTCATCTGCTGCGTCATTGCCACGTGAGCCGCTGAGTCCTTTAATCTAATTTAATGTAAGAAGAGATATTAATTTAAAAGCTTCCACACAGAAATATAAAAATACTGACTAAATATTACCCTGTGCATAGGCTAATCTAAATACTTTACTCCCGTACTCCAACCGTCGGAAACAGCTACTCCAATAAGTAACTCAACCAAGTTAAAACACACAAGATGCGAATGAACCTTCATACTTGACAGTCTTTTGGTTAGATCAAGTTTTACTTATTTGACACTAATTGTATTGGATGGATGTCAGACAGAGTATGGGCGTAGATCCCTGGGGTCAGGACCTAAACTGATATGACCTCTGTGCACTGGTAATAGTGCCCTATGGAGGGACACTACAATCAAAATGTAGATGTAAGATATGATACTGCTTCCTAACTATGTCTTTTACGAGAACATAATAATCTGCCAATGTGGCCAGACTGTTAACCTGCTGGACTGCCACATAGAGGTCCCGGTTTTGATTCCTGGACTGGGAGAAATATTTGTATAGCCTACATTTATTTCTCTTGTGAGTTTGGGTGTAATTTGTGGTTCTCTGTGTGTGTGTGTGTGTGTGTGTGTGTCAATGGCACCCACGACACAGGGTTTCCCTAGTGCAGGGTTTAAAAAGTCAAAGTAGTAGTCCGTCACTACAATATTCATCGTTACAAATTTTGTAGTCTATGCACTAACAAGAAAGATACAACAGTTGTCATGTGTTGTCTAAATAATGTCAGTGATCTTGGTAAAACAAGATTTTTTCTCTAAAAGTCTATATGACTGGACAGAAAGCAATTTATGCTTACAGAATTTTCTAATTGGAAAATTTGAGTCAGCATTGCAGACAACTTCTGGGCAAAGCTATAAAAGTTAATTTTGAATCCTGAAATGGTAAATGCTACTTGAATTCATGTTGTCCATAGAATTAATAATGACTTTAAAATTCTGTAAGATAGTGGTGGTTGAAATTTAAAATTAATTCTGTTGTTGCAATATTAGCAAAAGTAAGTAGATTACACAGTATAAAATCTATAAACAAAAATATGCAATGACAGTGCAATTAGTGACTCTATGAAAGAATTAATAGTTATTAATAATTATTAGAATTAATAATTATTTTTTGTTTCGTTTTTTTTTTCTTTCAACCGTGACATTGGCAAAATCATCATTTCTCATAATGATGGAGCCATAAAAATAAAAAGTGATAGTGATAGTGAACTAATAGACAAATTCCTGTTTTTGAACAATGGAAATTACTTGCAATTTTGTCTGAAAAATTTAAACAATTCTACCGATGTACTAACGTAGATTCGTGTCCTGTCAGATTGAAAGTATTTTTGTTAGTGTTCATTCGTGTTAGTAAAGCATAATATTCATTACAATTAATATTACAATTTTATTCTGAGTTTCGTTTTTAAATTGTGATGTAAATAATTGGTTTTTGTCACAGTGGTATATGACCATTAGTGTGTGTATGTTTGTATGTATGTATGAAATTTATTGGCAAATTTTTTGGTTAATGATTAATGGAATTTGAAAATTTATATATAGCAAATAGAGGCTATTTTCGAGTTAGGCAGGTATTGTTTTGTGTCAAATATGCTTATTGTTTCTTAAACTGTGTAATGCCCCACATATTCACTTTTAAATGCATTGATTTTCAGCTGAACTAGCAACAAAGCTGTCACCAGAAAATGGTATGATCAGAGCCTCAGTGGAGCTTATGTCCACCACAGATCAAGACAGGCCCCGGGGCGTGAAGTCTGCTCAAGCATCAACTGACAGTCAAGAGGGCGGAACCCCAACAAACGAAGCTGGGGACACTAGAGAAGATTGTATACCAGGCCAATCTGACGCTAAGAGAGCGAGGAAAATCACACAGGAGGAAAAAGAAGATGCCATGTTGCCAGATTTGAAACCTATGCCTGGTAATATGATTTATTAATTTTGTATTGATATAAATTTTTATTCAAGCCATGCTAGAGATTATAGTATCCAGTGGCGTAGCGTCGATTTCTGCCGCCTGGGGCCAACATTAAATTTGCTGCCCCCTCTAGTTTCACGATTGCAAAAGTAGTCCGTCCCGTCACTTACTATTATTAATGATTCTTTCATTGACTTACAAATAAATGGACGACGGGTCTAATACAAAAACCACGAAAAAAATGTCCCAAGTCAACCTATTTAAACGTAGTGACATGTCAAGGAATATGAAAAAGCTAAAACGTTGAATTTAAATTGTAATGTCATCGCAGTACTGTCTAATTTTGCTTGCTTCGCTGTCAGTCGAACAAACGAAGACTAGAGCGTGAATGACGCTTTGTATACGATTTTAACGCCCTATAAGTTCGGACACTTTTTAGCGCGGACCCGACGTCCATATAATTGTAAGTCAATGGATTCTTTCTATAAATTTAAATGTAAATTGCGTGTTCCTACAGCTTAATGGTTTATTTTCATTGTTATTTCTTTTACCTTAAAATATTAATACATCAATCAACTTCGAATTCCGATCTTATAATCAATTATTTACCTTAAATTTTAGTACATTAATGGATAATTGGATTATTAATATTTAAAGTTGTTTTTATTTTATTATTATTTTTGTATCTGGGTATATATTGAGTGATGTGGATACCTGTAATTGGTTTACACATAAGAACTGTGCCTTACCAAATGTTGTCTTTTAATCTTATTTTTTCTGTGTAATCTGTTGGTGCTCCAAATGAATAAATTATTTAAAAAAATCCTTCGGGCAGGCTCGGCTTTATCGTGTTTTTATGTTCGCCTGTCGTCGTCGCCACCTTTGTGTTGATCAGGATATTGTTTTTTCAAATAGTGGAATTATTATATTTTTTAATTTTAAATAAAAAATAAATGTTGACTAAGCTCCTTGCGCTAGCTGCCGCTCCATTGTTGTGCCGCCCGGGGTCATGGCCCCCTCTGCGCCCCCCACGCTACGCCCCTAATAGTATCCATTAATGTGAGGAATTAAAAAAATAGTAAATAAGACGATTTTACATGTTTCTACACAAAACACGAAGAGTACCTGTGTCATGTGGACAAAAAGGTTAAAGACACCGTCCTTTGCTGACATTCAGTCCTCACCTTTTTTTACCTTATGCTCCAGGCCACACTGAAGCTAAGCGAACTTAGCTTGCCTTACGTAGACGGTGCATCCTTCACACTTCGATTCACACCGCGAACTAAGTTTACCGAGCTAATTAGACCCAACGATCCCACTAGCTATGTAACATATGTCGCCCTTCTGCCGCCCTTCACCCCCGCACTTATTATCTTAGCTTAGCATTGCATGCAACTACGTGAGCTAAGTTAGCCAGTTTCGTTCGCGGTGAAGCCTGCGCTTTACATTAACATCGCAAAAAAAATTAAGTGTGGCAAAAATACAAATTTACAACCTGTATGTTTGCCAACCAAAAGCCACCAAACTTTTTAAAAGTACCAATCTGAGCATACGCTATGGACTATCCGTAAAGGCGTAGTCCAGTAGTAGTGTAGACACGTAGCCTGCCGCCGTTTATAGTAACCAAATCTGTCACTGCAGCTTATCACTAGCCCAAATAGTACTTTTACATTAGGCAAGACAGTGATTTCGTCATAACAAAAGTACCCTTTCATAATAACAAATTTGATAATAATAATAACACACACGCTCAACATAGCTCCGCACTACGGAAACCCTGTGTCGCGGGTGCCATGGACACACATATAGACAACCACAAATTACACCCAAACTCACGAGAGAAACAAATGTAGGTCATACAAATATTTCTCCCGGCCCGGGAATCGATCCTGGGACCTCTGACTGGCAGTCCAACGTGGTAACCGTTCGGCTACAGAGGCAGTTAAAATTTTATTTTTTGATTACTTGGAATCTTACACTTTTTACATCTAAAAAAATGCAAGATTTATAAAATAGAGTATTTATAAAAATACAATATAATTATAAATACGCTGTTATTTTTAACTTTTCCTTCGTCGTAATTTACAGGCACCGCAATGAGATTCACAGAAATACCAAAAGACAAGTACCCTCCAGGTTCGACGCCAGAAGAAATCACGAAACATTATTTGGACCAGTCATACTGTTTGGAGCTTATGATTGCACAACATGAGGAGTAAGTACATGTATTCCTTACTTATGTATACATGACTCAGACGTAATAATACTTACATAGGTTCGTTAATTTATATGCATACTATAACTACAAAATTAAAAAAAATCATAGTTTTTTTCCTCAAGTTTTGTGTACGATCCCAGCAAGATAGCGGTCTTCACCGGCCATAATACTGATGTAGTTGTTTTCTAAAGTTGATCGTCTCTATGTGAGGTGACATGGTTATGATAAAATATTCAAATTAGAGTCTTAAAAGACTATATTTAAATATATATATATATGTGTGATAGATTAAAAAATTGTGAACAATGCCCATTGGGTTACTTGAAGGTTTTTAAACATCGTCCCCACACTGTAGAAAATCCCAAGCCCGAATTACGCTATACCGCTTGAAATATGCCGAAAAATGGTTGAAAAATTTAGAAATCTTATTCAATACTTAAGACTTATATACCGAATTGAATAGAAAAAAATATCAAGACTTCTATAGCTTTTTTAAGTCCTCTGCCTCTGCCCCAGCCTTTATATCACGAGTATCATTCCCTTTCTCCATCCAAAAAAAATTCAAACTCTTAAAAATACCTTTAATCATGTGATTTTTTTATTTCAGGCCCCTACACATTATCGGAGAACTACAGTTTGCGTTTCTATGCTTCCTTATTGGACATTCCCTGGAGGCTTTCGAGCATTGGAAGAACCTTGTCATCCTCATTTGCTCGTGCGATGACGCGATTCACAAATACCGAACAGTCTTCTTCCACTTCATACGCACTCTCGAGATCCAGATTGAGGAAATGCCAGAAGACTTCTTGGCTGACATTGTGATGAACAAGAATTTAGTATATAAGAAGCTACGCGAGTTCTTCCGAACAGCTTATGTGAGCAAAGTCGATGGCAGACTGTTGACCATGATTGACAGATTCAAGGAGAATCTCACAGATAAACTCCAGTGGGATTTCACAGGTCTGGATGCAGATGAAGAAGATGAAAGGCCAGTGGTAGTCAATCTTAGCCAAGACGACGTGTTAGATTAAGAAATTAACCATCTTGATGTTTAAGGGTGCTAACAGATTGACTGCATGTTAATGCGTGGAGTCGTAATCAAGTTTATTCAGCCGAGACCACGACTGCATGAAGTTGATAAAGACTTCACGCATTAACTGCATGCAGTCGAGCTCAGCTTCACGCAGTTAATGTGGAAAGTCGTTACCCAACGCCTCGATGTAATACAACGTGAAGTTGATAACGACTACACGCATTAACTTCCAGTCTTTCTCGGCTGCATGAAGTCCGTATCGACTGCATGCAGTGTGTGAAGTCGTTATCCGAGACCTCGACTGCATGAAGTTGATAACTTAACGCATTAACTGCAAACATGCAGTCAATCTGTTAGCAGCCTGAGGGTAAAAATTACTCACAGATGATATTCCCTTATGTATATTGTGTACTGTGTACATCCTAGATTTGTGACCCTAATTTTAATAAATAAGTACAGTTTTATTGTAGGATTTACTTTAATTGTAATACCTTTTACATATCAGTGTCATTGATGTAAATGTGTTTAATAGATAATTGAAAGTAGCGAGTTTTTACTTTTTGTCTATATTTCGTCTCGCAATCGCGATGTTTCAATTTCAATGTGACTTGAGAATCTAATAAAATGTACAATCTAAGATGCATTTCATTTTTCAGTAGTAGGGACTTGTGGTGCAAAAAAACCTGTCAGAAAATTAATTTAGTTCTTTATTTCTTTTTCTTAAATTGCTTGTTTAATGATCTCTGATTCTGCCTTTCAAATTTCGGCTTCTTCGGGGACTCGAGTTCTGAAACAACATTATTAACATTAGGGATTGAAATATTTACGCTTTTCTATTAAGTGCTAAAGAAGTTAAATTAAAAGATGAAATTGTCTTTTCAATATAAGAGATTTAACATTTAGGCCTTATTTTTTCTTTGGATTAATTTTAGTGGTGTATTTCTTCTTTACTTCTGCAGTCCCGCATTTTTTCGTCCCATACAATGAAATGAAATCTCTTCATGGACCTGAGACGATCAGTACTAAAAAAAATTTTGATAAAAATTATTCATTTGTGGACAACACACGCTTGACCAAAATGTTTTCACAAAAAAGACAATGATTCCCGAGACAGTTTCCTTGTATCTTCCCCATACCGTCCTTTAAAAAAAACACGGTATAGCACTTATATTAGGTATAGTAATTATTATAACGGTAAAAACTAACAATGGCAATTATAATTTAAAGAAATAAATGAAGCTGCTAAAATTTTAACATACTTTTCTTCCACTTTAGAATGGAGTACGGTTCGTTAATTGAAACAAGCGTCATCTAGTGGCATAATCTAGTAGCTGTTATTCTCATCATGTTATAAGTAACGGCGTGGTTTGATATAACTACGATCACAATGCAGTTAGTATTTGCGCTGATACAATAAATAAAATCTAGAAAAATAGGTATACGAGTACTACAAATTGTTCGAAATACAACAGGCAACGCGAGTTGAAACTTCCACAAAGGCAGAAATAAAGGCGTCTTTGACCATATCAGTACTTGTGATAAGAAATATTGTTTCTTTGTGATAATAGGAAACGATCAAGACGGTTGCACTTGGATGATTAGCCCAATCAATGTCCAAATAAGAAAACTGTTGGTAAGTGCTTGGTGCTCCAGCCGTGGAGTAATGCCTTATAGCAGGCGTGTCGTTTACCACCAGTCGCGCGACTTGTTTGTCCCGTGTCGATATCATAGAAATAGCTAACTTAAATTTGGCACAACTATGACGTTTATTACACTTCCCAATTTCTCTGAAAGGCTTATTACATTACCCCATTTGAAGGGAACCTAACTCTAAAAAACGCTTATTACACGAGAACAGCGCTTATTACACTTCCCGATTTAGGACACTTACTTGGTGCAACGGGCTGGTATCCGCAACTCGACGACAAGGACACTTATAAACTAATATAATTATTATATTATATATTAAATATATGATATAATGGTATATATTAAACTAACTTATATTACATATCCCAAAGTTGTAATTGTAGTAAGAGACATTGAAATAGGTTAATAATAATAAAATTTTATTTATTGAGACAACTGAGATCCAATCAAATGTTAGTGGGTACAGACTTAAAACTATATTAGTACTTATATTTTACCAGGGACTTTGTATTATGTATTAAGTGCCGCATAATTAGGCACTCATTCCTGTCAAAAACTGCCTCTGTGGCCGAACGGTTACCATGCTGGACTGCCACGCAGAGGTCCCAGGTTCGATTCCCGGGCCGGGAGAAATATTTGTATGGCCTATATTATTTCTCTCGTGAGTTTGGGTGTAATTTGTTGTTTACCTATGTGTTTGTCCATGGCACCCGCGACACAGGGTTTCCCTAGTGCGGGGCTATGTTGAGTGTGTGCGATATTATTATTAAAAATTATTAAAAAGCAACTGTCTTCAGGAGGCTATTGGGGCTGTCACGTATTCTCTTCAGTAGCGACGCCGACTTTTTACATACAACAGACGTAACACTATCTACGCGCGCGTCAGTGAACATAGCTGAGGCACTGCAGAAACGTGACAGCCCCAACAGCGTCCTGAAGGCGTTGTTGTATTGCACGCACTGAGCATTCCGAAAGCACTGAGTGTAACTCTTCTACAGAGCGCTAGCGTACATTGGTGTGCAGTAAGCTTTAAACAACGTTTTCTTAACTGCTGCCGTACATCTGGCGAACCTACGGGCAAGCATGTTTGCTCTCACCGAGACTGCTCTCCGTTCGCACTGTATACCCAGGTCATCCTTGAGGTCGTCGGTAACATAGTGCCCCAAGTATTTAAAGTGGCTAACCCTTTAATTTAGTAAGCCCGTTAATGTAATTAAAGCTACAAGTTAACGTTTATGTTACAAGTTAGGGTCCCTTGAAATCGGTTGTGTACGACAGCTGTTCGCTTCTGTTAAGAAACGCGGACGATGATGGCAAGACTCGTAGATAAACAACCACGACTAATCAACCAATCAGTACGTCTACTTCTACCTATACGACAACGTACGCACACACACAAAAGTATGCGGTCGAACAAATTAAAGATGCAAAATATAATTTGTTAACCCTTGTATTGTGCACTGATAAATCATTCTTACTTTCAGTTGCCTTCCTCTTGATTTGCAGTCGTTTTTTTGCTTCCTGTTTTTTATCCTTTTTCTTTACTACCGGTTGAGCCACCTTTTGGGCAGCTTTTTGTACATGTTTAGTCTTCTGCTTTGGAGTTGGTGGCAAGTCTTCATAACTGTAATAATTAATATTTGTAAAAATACTACATAGACTAGTTTAACTTAAGAGAAACTTAAAAGGTCACATAAGCAGAGAAACACGGATTCTTAAATAGAAGATTTAATGGAAATGTTATTTAGAGAATTTCAATTCCATATTTTTTAAAATACATTCGACGTTTTCATAGTACTGACCTGTCTTCATCAATATTATCATCAGATTCTAAAGCTTCACTGTCATCGCCAATATCATCGTCACTTTCAGCTTCATTGTCACTTTCATTGCCAGATTCATACGAATTAGACTCATCTTCATTCTCAATCATTTTAGAATATTCATCAGAGTCAAAAGCATACGAACTGTCACTGTCTGAATCTTCTCCAATCTTTACAAATTCTTCTAAGGGTTGAACACCTTTATCTTTTAATGTTTGCTTCTTTTGCTTCTGTTCTTTTTTAGTAGGCTTCATATCTTGTAATAGTACCTTTGCGTCTTTTTTGCTTTTCCGTTCATTTTTAATATTAGGTTTCAGAGGAGCTTTCACTTTAGCTTTATGGTCTTTCTGGCTAACTTCAATATCAGCTTGTGGTAACTTCTTACCTTTCTTAGCTTTCTTATTTTTAGCAAAATTATTGTCTTCCTCTTCTGTTTTTTCAACTTTGACCTGGACATTATTTTGTAAGGCTTCAGGTACATCAACTGGAGTGAAAAAGTCGTAACTTATGCCTAATTCAGAAAGTTTCGACTTTGTTTTTGAAAGGCTGTAACAGAAAAGCTTCATTGACCTATGTAGAAATATGAAGTTCTTTAACATGCTGACCTCCTTGTCATAACTTTCGAGGCAATCTTTTTATTTGAAAAATGTCAACTACGCTGATTTTGCTCAACAATAAAACTAAAACTAAATAGGAAATAAAAAAACCACTTATAGAGGATTGTGGATCTCGTTTCGCGATTCCAAATATCGCTGCTTTAATCAAGTATAGTGGCCCAATGCAAAATAGATTCTTTTCTGAGTCATTACTGAAAATTACTTAGGAAATGCAACATTTTATTGTGAATGTGACGCCGAGTTTTTCATTGGTATCCATTGACTTACAAATAAATAGACGACGGGTCTAATACAAAAACCACGAAAAAAATGTCCCAAGTCAACCTATTCGAAATTTAAATTGTAATGTCATCGCAGTATCGCGCTGTCAGTAGAACAAATGAAGACTAAAGCGGAGTTTGGCGCTCTGTATACGATTTTAGCGCCTTACAAATGCGGACACTTTTTAGCGCGGACCCGACGTCCATATAATTGTAAGTCAATGTTGGTATCATAAATAATCATGTAACAACATTGGGATGATCTATGATTTTTCAATTTTAAGCGACTTGCACGTGTCGGGTTTTTTCAAAACCATCTCATGAATTACGTGCTTTTGAAATAGGCCACTGCGCTGTTCAAGAAAGCCATATGTTAATAACTTTCGCTACAAATATATATTAAGTTAGTTATGACATGGAGTATTAATTCTCACAAATTAAGTTTAGTACTTCTTTAAACAACATTTTAGGTATAATCAATTAAAATTCATTGACAATAAAATTATGAGAATTGTTGAAAACAGTAAACTGTTTTTGAAAAGATAACAAGCAAGTCGTAGGTTTCTCAATGATATACTTTTTGATTTGTTAGTTTGCAATAACTTGTGTAGATGGCATTTCTTTGAATTTATTCTAGGAACTATATACACGCACTGACTTTTTTTTGTTTGCTTTGAAATACTAAAACTACAGACTCGGCTTCTTTGCGATTTTATTATATGTTATTGTATTTAATTATAATTAGCGCCTGTACAAGAGGAATAATCTTGACAAAAAATTTAACAGCTGCCATCTGTTGGTCATTTCGAATATTATTACAACGGCATCGCGGGTTTACTTGGTACCATCTATTGATCAGCGATAAGAATCAAAATAGACGTCCGAATAAGCGGGGTTATGATGGCGACATTTCTTTTTATGAGATTGTGAAGCTGTACTATAGTATAATAATATCTGTGGTTATGACAAGGAGGGCAGCATAGCACTATTGAAAATTACGGTTCCAGTTCCAGTAAACTTTTTTAGAATTAATTACTAGAATGAAGAGTTCATACCGATTTTGCGGTTTCAATGTTATAATGACCGAGTTATTATTTAGCGTCCATGGCCAGAGGTATATATATATATACGCTCTGACTTCCGAATGTCAGAATAATAAACATATCAAGTTTTCACATTTTCGCTATTGTTACACATTAGAAAAGAAATTTTCTTTCGGATCCATATCACTTGTTTTTACAAACAAACCAATGCCGTGACCATGAAACCTGTAAACCGAAACGTTGATTTGTTTGAAAAAACAAATATATGCAATTTAGATCCAAAAAACATAGTTTAATTTCCAAGTATAATAAGCAGTTATACTGTGGTGAGAAAGACATGAACAGTGCAAACAAATATCATTTAAAAAAACTTATATGAATAAGCTTGTAGCTTATTCAAATCACTTATTATGAAAACTAAAATGCTTATATAATATTTACTTAACAATCTTTCTTACTTTGCTAACAGTTTTTTAGCCTTCTGCAAATCTCCTTTTTCATCCTTGTCAGCATTGTAGGCCTAGAAAACAAAGAAGTTAGGCGATGAATTGAAATACCTTTGATTACATTTCTTTCTAAGCAATGTTGCACTTAAAATATTGGCTATTTGAGGCTGCAATTAGAAAATGTTTGTATAGCCTACATTTATAATTATTATATTTACAAAGATCGAACACTCAGAAAAAATTCCTTCGATCCGGTCGGATTCGAACCGACGCCGACGTCTTCTTGCATACCGTGCCAGACGCTGTACCAACTAAGCCACGGAACAAACCAACGGACCTCACGAATTTTTCTATGTGCTTGCGTCGTGTCTTTGTACTAGGTCTTTCAACGACTTTTTAGTCGTAGCGCCATCTATGAGAAATCTATTACAGATTTAGCCTACATTTGTTTTCTCTCGTGAGTTTGGGTGTAATTTGTGGTTATCTATGTTTGTGTCCATGGCACCCGCGATACAGGGTTTCCCTAGTGCGGGCCTATCTAAGTCAAATCTAAGTCACGGGTGATCACGGAATCCAAAGTGAAGGGTCAAAACGTTGGTTAATTTGAATAAAAAAAAAACAAATATACGCGATTTAAATCCGGAAAAATAGTTTCATTTCCTGTGTGTAACAATCGCGAAAACCTAATAACTCAATATTACTTTTGTTTTCATGCAAACAAACAAACTTGTGATACTAACCTTTTTTATTTTGAGTCCATGTTCCCTTCCTGGATTGTGTGTTGAATTCCAGTTTTTTCTCATAGCAGGCCTTTGTTTCTGTGGAGGGATGTAGACAGCTGAAAAGACGACAGTTTCGTATAAATATTTATTATGTTATATTGTTATTTTAGCCTTATACTGAATATACTGTGCTTAAAATTATTTATGAAATTATGATTCATATATTTGACGACCTCCGTGGTCAAGTGGATTGTACACCGGTTTTCATGGCGTCGCCAGGTCTGAGGTTCCGGGTTCGATCCCCGGCGGGATCAACGTAGAAATGTAACTTTTTATACTATCTCGGGTCTGGGTGTTTATTTCTGATTTCCATAACACAAGTACTTTAGTTACTTACTTTGGAAATCGAGGCAACGTATGTGAATGTTGTCTAATTTTATATAATATTATTATATAGCAAATACTTTGCTTACCTAACTAGGAGTGGTCACCATGATCGAACACGATTGAATTATTTAATTCATTATATATTTATTTATTCCTAACAATGTTAGTATAGGCATTACACAGGTAATTACCACACAAACGTATCCCATGCGGTATACCCATACCGCAAATACTTAGTATTCTCTATGTGTACATTATACTATTAACAAAAACAAACACTTTAAATATTGTACACCCCTGTACTATGAAAATTGTGAGTTCGGTAAGTCTATACTAAGATCCCAAGGTGCGCCTGGCTACCGGCCTGAGAACCTGTTATGTGTTATCTGTTTATTTTATTTAAACAATCTTGCTTCTAAATGGTATATATACCTTTTAACAACCTCTTCCCCATAAGGTAATTATTCATGGTCTCAGCAACAATCTGGGCCACTGTAGGCTCTCGGAATTCTACAAACGCACAGCCTTTGGAATTTCCTGTCCGTTTTGACCTGATCACTCTAGCATTGGTTACAACGCCAAACTGCTTGAAGTACTGAGTCATTTCATGCTGAAAATAAATAAAGTAAAAATGTACAAATTACCAGACATTAAGCCATTCATAGGGTCGTATTCCAGAACTGTACTCAATGCTCAAGTCAGGATTTGAGCAGACTTGAGTATGATTTCAAGCACTGGAAATACGACCCTAATGGCAAGGACTTGAGTATGATTTCTAGTGCTTTGAATCATACTCAAGTCCTGACTTGAGCATTGAGAAGAGTTCTAGAATACAACCCATAGGCAAGAATAGAAAACATAAATAAAATTTTGAAACCCATTGTATAAAGACCCATGTTCAAAAATTCATTTGTATTTATCTTGACTGGACAAATGAACTAGCAATGCACGACTTTGAATGTTACTAACACTAATCATTTGAATGGGCAAATCATTCACCTATGTTGAATTCAAACACAATCGTTTGACCCGAGTCAAATGCCGCTGCCATTTGCTTGGGTGCACAAGTCGAATGATTATTATGTTGGAACTACCACTACTACTCAGAATTCCACCAGATCATTCACCATGTCCATATCAAAACATCCCTGTCCCCGATCATTCAAATACAAAAATTAGTAGCTTACTACTAATTGTACTAGTTATTACTAATGAGTGAAATATCCAAATCATTTGCAATCATGCATCACTATCATGAATAATAATTTTTTAATGAATAGAACTTAAAAAGTGAGAACACAGCCAGGTCTACCATGAATAGAACCTGAAGATATTAGTGCAGAATATCTGGCCCTTGGGCCACCAATCGCATAAAAAAATCGGTAAATTGATCAAATATGGTACATCATTATCAATTTGTTACCATCCCTTGGGCATATTTTTCCTACAAAGGGAGGATTGAGGCCATAATTTACTGCACTAACTCAAATGTAGGTTGACTGTAATTGTAAGGACTTCACACTTTTCAATAGTTGTGAGCTGTCTTCAACTTACTGGTTTCATCACGATATCTTCCTTCAACACTAGCATTATGTATTACGACAAAACATATCTGAGTAATGTGGAATTTTTTTATATAGAAATTAAATAATAGGTAATAGGTTAAGGACAAGGAATCTCACGATATGAAAACAGGCTTACAGAAGCTTTGAATGAACCACTAAGTAACAGACAATTGCAGAGGCGCCACATGTGGGACTAAAGGACGGAGAAATTGTAAAGATGAAGGCAACCTAACACAGGGCGGGCGAGCCTACCACGCCAAATAGACCATAACAAAAGAACTGCTCATGGTCCATGGACCGAGCGCACGTTGCAAAAGGCATCATAAAAAAAATTAAATAATAGGTCAATTTCACATTTTATAGTTCTAATTAAACATAGTTGTAGGGTTCTAAATCGTGAAACCGATTCTTTATTGCTAATTTATTCACCAACCTCGTAAAACCCATGCGGTATATGTGACAAATAAACAAGTCCTCTTTTACGTTTCTTTTTGCGATCTTTGCCTTCTTGTCCTTTTAAAGCTTTCACGATACCAGCCTCAGAATTGGCTTTATCTTCACTTTTCTGTAATTAAAATAAAAAATACTTTATAAATGCGCTCGCATAACCTTAAAATAAAAACAACGTTTACGACAATACCTTTATAAGTTTCTTTATCCCTTTAACTGATTTCGCAAACTGCTTTTGTTTACTGGAGTCTAATGCAACATTTTCTTCCATTTTAGATTAATTATTTTCCATAAATTCACACAACACGTTAAAACGACCCGCGATCGAAAAACCGGAAAAACAGGTTGACAGCTTGACAGGTTGACAAATTGCATCATCAAATATGTTGGAAAACAGAGATGAAAGTATAAAAATATGTGTTTGTCTACTTCGCTTTTTCATTTCGAAAAGATCAAATACACTACAAAAAAATGTTTGCTTTTTTGGCTAAATTTAAAGTACAACAACAATTTAAAAGTAAGCCAGCAATACAATTTTCGAGAACGGTGATCTCTATCTCCTACACATAAAATGTATAAAATAAAATCGTATTTTGCCTTTTCTTTCTCTCTTTCCTCTTTATTTTCGTAGCTTGCGGCAGAGCTAGAGCTAGTGTTGGGTAGGACATGAAATTAAAATGAGTTTGAGGAGAAGACCTCGTTTAAAAAAATGAGGCGGTACAATATCCTATTTCAAATAAGGTGAGGTAGTGGTAAGAATGTTTGCTACTACGGCAATGACTCAACAGACAGGGAATAATAAGTACATTTTTATAACTTAATGGTATCAATCAATTGGATAATATCTAACTTAAGTGTTACGATATAGCATAAATAAATGCTAATTTGTTTAGTACATGGTAGCATTGATCATGCTACCATTTACTAAATGTATGATGTAAAATCAGCTAAAAAGCGGACGGTGCAGTGTGACATGAGGTGAGGTGGGACATTTTTATGACTTGAAGTGTTGTGACAAACTAACCAAACAAGTGGTACAAAAGAGTTGCCTCGTGTAACTCAGCCAACACTAGCCATAGCAGAAAGAGAATACAATACTTACGGTTAAGTTCTGGTAAACAAAAAGGAACTTCGATCTTCTCTTGAAATTCTGAAGATTCTGAACTGAATTTGTTTATACTACAGCTACGATTTGAACTGTGTGATACTTCGCAAAAATGTCGACTTTTGCGACCGGCAATCTCAACCAATACATACAGTTTGTTGAGCGAGTGTACAGGACTGCACAGGGCAATATTTTGGCACGATTACTGTCCTTAAGGGACGAGCATGTGTTAAACAGGAACCTGCGCTCCAGTGACATTGCCTCGCTCGTCGACGGCAACTGCATCGCTCCTCTTGATGAGATGATAACTGCTCATCTTTTGTGTGTCAAAGTGAGTATTAGTTCAGTAACTTTACAGGTGTTACTTAATTATAGAATGATTACGGTTAGTAATAATAATAATATCGCACACACTCAACATAGCCCCTATTGAAACCTGTGTCACAGGTGCCATGGACTTACAAGTAGACAACCACAAATTACACCCAAACTCACGAGATAAATAAATGTAGGCCATACAAATATTTCTCCCGGCCCGGGAATCGAACCTGGAACCTCTGCATGGCAGTCCGGCTTGGTAACCGTTCGGGCATGGAGGCAGTTAAAACTCCGTGAGACTTGTCAACTTATGTCTCAGGGTGTCAGTCGCAGTGGCAGTGCCCCTCAGATCTTTGTGATTAAAGCTTGAGCGGCATTGTAATTGCTAGGGACAGGCATGTCACTTACAACCAGGCACACAATTTGTTCATCCTGTCAGTATTATTTAAAAAAAAACCAATATAATTAAACTTAATACCTGCATATTCTAACTATTCCAGGCCCTCAATATGAAAGATTACATGGAAGCGTATGAACAGCAAAGTGCCTGTGTGGCAGCAGTGGTAAGGTTGCTGCAGTCACAAAAAGAGGAAAATTGGAGTCTCCCACTCATGTACTCCACTTGTCTTGACTTAAGACTTGTTGCTCAGAAAGCTGAAGAATGCAATCGTAAGTACATATATTTTTCTCATGTTGTAGTTTTTACCTGGATATTCCAAAGATTCTAAGATAGTAAAAAATAAAAAAAAATCATTTTTATTATGAATAGTAGACACATGCTTAGCCACAATCTCAACTGATTTTAAGTGACAATGTGACTGACAATGGTGTAAACATTTGTCTAAGAATCCATATTCAGTCTAGCTTTGAATAGCCCCAAATTGTAGTTTTCAAGAAACAGATATGCTATTACAGTAACATATTCCATTCCTTTGCTGTATGCAATAAAAATAAGGAAACAATGTTGTGCAAAACTGGTGTGAGTTTTTAATAATACCAAGCGACGGGATGAACAAGTCATGTGCCTGCTGGTATGCCACACTACTATCCGTTACAGTTGCAGTGCCACACAGCTTTGAATCGCAAAGATTTTGAGGGCTCTGCCACTGCGTCCATCATCCTGAGACATAAGTTGACATGTACCTGTAATTGCACCAGCAATGGTGCTATTACAGGTACATGTCTGGTAGTATGTCAGATAAGAAGTAGATAAAGTGTTAGTGCTTCCCTGGACAAACTTTCAAAGGAGCTCTGCTGCCTGAAAAACTTGATTAAATATATTTTTTTTTTTTTATAAATAGTATATTTTCTACTGACATTCCAATTTTGACTACTAAGTCATTAAATTCATCCCCCACAATCGCTGAATCCTTACTAAAAGAAAATAATGCAGTTAGTATTCCTAATTTAAGGTTCCGTCACGTATTTCCAACCGACTGTTAAAGCCTTTAAGTGTATAGATATAAAAAAATACTGCTGACCTTAATGGTCTTTCAGTCAGAGTAATTAGTTCTATAGTTGATTGTATTGCGCCATACTTAGCCTGTGTCTTTAATAAATGTGTTGATGGTGTGTTTCCTGACCTCATGAAGCAAAGTAAAGTTATTCCACTTTTCAAATCTGGTAGTATGTCAGACTCCACCAATTTCAGACCTATTTCAATACTACCAACACTCAGTAAAATTTTTGAAAAAATGATTCTAAATCAGATGTGTGCACATTTTTATAGTAATAACTTAATGTCTCCTACACATTTTGGTTTTACTCGGGGTTGTTCTACAACCGATGCTGGTGTTGAGTTGATGAAACATATATTTGATGCATGGGAAGACTCACATGACACTATTGGTGTATTCTGTGACCTGTACAAGGCTTTTGATTGTGTGCACCATGATACTCTGGTCAGGAAACTTCGCCATTATGGTGTGGCGGGACGTGACCTTCTTAAATCGTATTTGAGTGGTAGGGTCCAGAGGGTCGATGTTAACGGTACGAGATCATCAGGGTCTGCAATAAGCTTGGGTGTCCCTCAAGGTTGAATTCTAGGTCCATTTTTGTTTTTACTTTATAGTAATGACTTACCTAGCCTCATGGAGGGTTTAAAACATGAGATAGTATTGTTTGGTGATGATACTTCATTATTATTTAAAGTTAAAAGGCACCAATGTTCCTACGACGATGTGAACAATACTATATCTAAACTAGTTGATTCGTTTGCTGTTAATAACCTGCTTCTTAATGAGAAAAAAACAAATTGTGTGAAATTTACATTACCATTTACATTGTAGTTAGAAACGAAAAATTGAATCTTGTGGATACAGTTGTTATTTCTAGGTACGTTAAATGCTAAATTGCAATGGGGTCCACATATAAGTACGAGATTAAAAAAATACGGAAACTTTCAGACGTCGAAACCGCTAGATTGGTTTACTTTCACAGTCTAATGACGTACGGCATTTTGCTTTGGGGTACTGCCGCCGATATCAATAGAATGTTTGTCCTGCAGTAACGTGAGGTTAGGGCAATTTACAATCTGGGCCCCAGAGTATCTTTGAGAGATAAGTTTAAGGAAATTAATTTTCTTACACTAGCATCACACTACATCTATGAAAATGTAATTTATGTTAAGAGGAATAGTAATCTCTTTATGAAAACTAGTGACACGCATAACATTAATACGAGGAATAAAAATAAACTAGCTGTTCTTGATAGACGTCTTCACAAAGTGACAAATTCATTTAATGGGCAATATATACACTTCTATAACAAGATTCCGGTTGATATACAAAACTTGCCATTCACGAGGTTTAGAACTATAGTGAAACAAAAACTTTATACTAAAGGTTATTATACAACTTCTGCATACTTGGATGACAAAAATTCCTGGTAGTAACCCATTTAGCTCTTGGAGGTAGTCTCGATCTCTGATAATTGAAAGCAAAACAAAAAATACATTCTAAATGATGAATGCGTACAAATGTTATTTACAAAGAGCAACCCCTAGAGTTTCTTGCTCATTCTTCTCAGGGGAATCTGCCTTACGAAGGAGCGGTAGAGTTTAACCAATGTGACGATTTCAAGTGTCATTAAAATATATATATAACCGTCATTGTGAATAAAAACCGCCGAAGTATTTTAATAACCGGCAATCTGTCTCACTACCGCTACACATGTCTCTCAACCCTGACATTGGCAAAATCGTCGCGCAAAACGACGGAGCCATAGACACAAAAGTTGAAGTTGAAGTTGAAGTAATAATGCTTACCTATGAAATAAAGATTATTTTGATTTTTGATTTTAGTACTTATCTGCTACTCTCTACACAAAGTGTTGTATAGAAACCACTTTGCAGTCGGATTAGATGATCTGTATTTGTATAATAATTTGTGTGCTATAAAGCAGATACAACATGATAAACATGTCTTAGACGTGTATCAATTTCCTAGTTTTATTCTGACTAAGATTCTCATGTCAATTTATTTCAGCCCAAAGCAATGGAAAAATCCTAGAGAAAGCAGCAGAGAGTTTACTTGCCTGCTTTAGAGTATGTGCAGCCGACAACAGATCGTCAGATGCTGATACAAAGAGACTGGGTATGCTGAACCTTGTCAATCAACTCTTGAAAATCTACTTCCGCATCAACAAGCTGCATTTATGCAAACCGTTGATAAGAGCCATAGACTCTTCACCATTTAAGGATGAATTTTCACTTGCACAGCAGATTACGTATAGATATTTTGTTGGACGTAAAGCAATGTTTGATTCAGATTACCAAGTTGCTAACCAGTATTTATCATATGCCTTTGAAAATTGTCATCGCAAGAGCACAAAGAACAAGAAGTTAATATTAACATATTTAGTGCCAGTTAAAATGTTGCTTGGATATATGCCGACAAAGCAGCTACTGCAAAAGTATGACTTACTTCAATTCTGGGATTTAGTATCTGTTGTTAAGAATGGAGATCTACGAGGAATTGACAAAGTCATGGAAGAGCATGAGAGCTTTTTCATTAGAGCTGGTATATACTTGATTGTGGAAAAGTTGAAGATTATTGCATACAGGAACTTATTCAAAAAGGTATACTTGGTGGAAAATACCCATCAGATCGATATTGCTAGTTTCCAAGCCGCTTTGCAGATTATGGGACAAGAAGATGTTGATTCTGAGGAGACGCAATGCATTGTTGCGAATCTAATTTACGATGGAAAGATAAAGGGGTATATTTCTTATCAACATAAGAAAGTTGTTGTTAGTAAGCAGAATGCATTCCCTCCTCTTACTTCCATTTAAATACGTGAGAAATGGAAGTGCTTTTTCTTTCTTTTCTAATCACACTACCGTAATATGGTTCAAAAGTGCGAAAGTAACAATAAGCTAAAAAGGTAAGAACACAGGACTAAAACTGATTTATAAAAGAGAGTATGTTAAATATGTTTTATTAGGTCATGTATCTAAAATCTCCATGTAAGCGCCTAGTAGATATCAAACCAAGATTGGGTACTTGCAAAAACATTGCGGGTCACCTAACTCAGTTAGCTGAAATATTTTGAGTCTCTCGCACGCGTGTCTTATACCAGCGTGACCATGGTCGAGTTTTTGAAATTTGACTAGCCAGAAAAAAGTCGCTATTTAGTCGGTTCTAGTCGCAAAAAACTAGATTTAGTCGATCCGCCGTTCAAAATGTATAAAGGTGTTTTTCTGTTCACGCTGGAAAATGCTTATTCCAGCGGCACTATTTCTCAATCTCGAGAACCACAGCACCTAGCTTAGATCTTTTTCTGGGTGCAATTAGATCTAAACTAGGAGCTGTTCTCGAGATTCAAAAACGGCGCCGCTGGAATAAGCATATTCCGGCGTGAATAGTAAAACACCCTTATAACTTTTGAACGGCGAACCGACTAATTCTAGTTTTTTTGCGACTAGAGCCGATTAAATAGCAGTGGCGAGGCGTCCATATAACTCGGATTTCTACCGGCTTGCCTAAAATTTTCCACGTATTACAAAATATTACATTTTGTGCTAAATTGTAAGTGTAGAATAAGTTAACTAGTGAAATGAAGTGTACTAGTACCTGTGTCGCCAAGGCCCCACTTGTTCTTAAGATAGGTGGTTTTTGTTGTGCACTGCTAAATAGCGACATTTTATGGCTAGTCAAATTTCAAAAACTCGACCGTGGTCACGCTGGAATAAAGCACGCCTCTTTCACTTCGTTATAATGTGTTCATTATCATTATTGTACTTGTTTTATACAAACTAAAGATGTTTAAAAAAAACACCAATGACATTAGAGTTTTTTATTAAATCCACAATATATTTCAAAGAATAATATAAATATAATAAATTTTACTGATCTCTAAAGTAGCATTATTTCCAACAATGCAGACTTATGAATAATTATACATGCATGTCAAGTGTAAGATATCAAGTGTAATTATATTATTTTGTATTTATATCTATAGAGAAAGTTATATGTGATGTGCAATTCCATGATGTGGTACAATTGCTTAGCAATAACTACAGTATAATTTTCTAGCTAAATAGATTTAAATTATTTGTTGATGACGGTGATTTTTTTAAAATTTATTCTATACAAGTACAAAGTTCCATAGATATGTCCCGCCATATGTAGATATTTAATTAGATATGCCAATAATAATTCTATTTTTTTCTAAATTGATTATTCATTCTTCTCCCCACTAATTATGTAACAGTAAGGGCACGTGTCACGCTAAGAAATTCGACGTGTCTGCTACAGAAAAGATGATAACGGTCTTGTACACGACAAGAACTTTGTCGGATCTAGCCACGAAAACATGTCGTGTCTGTTGCAGACGAGAAAATGATAAGTATATACACGATACGAATGCTTTCAGACAGACGTGTGTATATGTTGATACTAAGGAACACCCGTCCACGCGCAGTCCTTGTAGGTTTTTGTACATGTATCTATGCGTGTATTTTGTATTTATACATGTATAAATATCACAAGAAATTAGAATAGCTTTGATAAATTGTAGTTCGTCAATGTAAAATAAATTAGTTACAAAAATACCTATTTGGTATTCGTCATGACATCTGTTGTACAAATAGGTACTAAATACCCGATCACGCCATCTTGTATCGCAATTAACAGTCTAAGTATGTCCATAAGTGTCTATAGCTAACTCATTGAAAGAACTATATTGAGACGAGTTACAGCGTAGGGGTACGACGTGCCTTTGCCAGCAACTACGATTAGTCAAGAGCGGAATGATATGTTCCAAATTGTGCTTTCTAACTTCGCTGGTGAAGACAATTATGTAAAATAAAATCAATTGCACATCACATATTTCGACCCCTCCTACGTAAAGTATCGTATGTCGAAATTGTCAAGTTTACAGGTGCTCGTTTTTAAGTTCTGAAATGAGCATAACACGTGACTTTAGCATTTCTCTGTTCCATATACGATATTTCACGTAGGAGGGGTCGATTTGTTACAAAAATATTAAGAAACATTTGACTAGCTATATAAATATTTGATATCTTCTTTATATATCTGTTTATAACCTAATCTATGCTATCAATTATATATAATTCTACCATTGATTAAATACAAAAATTAAATCTTAACTAAAACACTATGTTTTGACAAACATTGACTGAAAGCTACTACATTTAATAAATAAAACGTCACATTATAAATAGGTACTAATAATTAATAATTTCTTGTTTAATTTCGACATAGAACTCTAAAGGTACACAAATCCAAATTGTTAAAAGCTAAATGTTCTTAAACTATAGGACACAGTAATATTGAATTTATATATTCGAACTTGTTTTTAATGATAAACAGAATTAGTAACGCGCTATTATATGAAATTATTTACAAAGCGATTCTGCAGACTGATTTTAATTCAGGTCGGGATCGATCCCATCGGAGTCTCGAAATCAGATGGGTTTTCGAGCGAGAACATCTTCTGATTAGGAACTGAGTAGGAACCTGATTCCTACTATAACTTTATGATTTGTGTCATGTCAAAAGTTTCCGATCGGCCATTTGTGAATCGCAATTATGCGCCTCGACTCGGAAGAGACGCAGTTTCCGATCGGGAGAGGCAATCAAAATCAAGTTGCAAGAACCCGATTCAGAACTCTTCGATATTTTAACTGAATCGTTCGACTAGATATGGCCCTCGAATCGAAGGGCGCTTTCCGAGCTATTTAGAAAATTCCGAGTTAATCGTTCGATTTGGATATAATGTCGTTATCCAAAAGCGTTTACGGAGTTAGTCGGTGAAATAGATAGACAAGAAAAACAGATAATCTCAGTACAGAGTACTAAAAAAACCGACCTCAAAAGTACGTGGAATTACGTTGCTAAGTTTTATTGAAATATCCCCTAGTTCGCCACTATACAGGACTTGACACTGGAGTATATTGATAGAAAAACGCCTTGAATTGGAGAAATAGCAAAATCAACCATTAAAATAATTGCTCCTAAATTAAAGTTTAGGCGCTATTTATAAAAATTAATTTTCATGCGTGAACAGCCACCCTTAGAGGTGGATGATTTTCTTCAAAATGAAATGGAACCACTATGGAAGTACTCCCTTTCCAACAAAAAAAGAATCATGAAAATCGGTTCACAAATACCCGAGTTATCGCGTAACATACATACAAAAAAAGACAGTTGAATTGGGAATCTCCTTTTTTGAAGTCGGTTAATAAAAAATAGAAATCTTTAACATACATTTTTAAGACTTTAAAGGCCTAAAATATAGGAATGCATTAGTCTTGCATTAAAATAAATTAATAAAATTGAACAAAATCCAGATTTTATTTGAAATAATAAAAGATTTCATTTTTTGTGACGTCATTCCGGTTCGATTTCGAATACGACGGTTTGATTTTTGATTCGGATGTTGCGAATAAAAATGAAAAGAAATCGGTCGACAACTGAGTTATCGTAAAGTTCTGAATCGACCCCTGGTACACAATTTGAACTAAAGGCGACAGAGGAAGTGTCAAGCATGCATTTACGATTGGTTTAAAATACTTAAAACAATTTCATTATTTTGTAAGGACAAAGTTTTCTACACTCTACGAGCTGCCTTCATAGTTTAGCCCTTAAAAACAATGAAACTGTATATAACTAGACAAACAACTATGTAATAATCCCTAAAATTATACAGATTAACTTGCTACAAAATCTTAAAATGCTTCTACGCACTTATAATAAGCCCTACTCAATATAAATTCGGCTATGGGTTTGTTTTCAAAGCTTCATACAAATTGAACTCCACCAGTTAAAAGACAATTCATTCAAAGCATGCGTAATAAACATTCTTAGCAGGACATATTAAATACCTAATACGTGTTCCAAAAGTCCAGCTTTCAGAAAGCTTTGTTTCGCGTACGAAGACAATTTCTGCTACTATGATTTTATTATACACATTTTTGTATCCGGTTCGAAGGATCATCAATGGCAGAAACTGTAACCTATTAATTACGTCATCATTCAAAACCATGACTTGCCAGTACTAGGACCTTACGTCAAATAACGGGACATTAGCCAGGAAAGTTTCAAAACTAAAATAATCTCGAAGGAATGGTTTAATTTCTCTCGGGAAAGGCGAATTTGTGTGGTCCTTTCAGCAACTCGTCTTTGTAAGCAGCTAGGATAGCTCGCGACATGCCTGGTTCTGATGAACCCGCCTCCAGGAATTGGCGCATAAGTCTGCAAACACCAGACTGGTTAAACATCTGCCTGGACATAAGAGTCGATACTACGTCAGCTCGAATTAAAAATTTTCCCGTACCGAATCGATTCTATTGCGCGTGTCGAGGTTTATTTCAGAATTTATTTATTTTTTTATTAAAGCCATTTGAAAATAGTATATCGTATACTATACATGTGCTATTTAGTTCAGTTGATATAAAAAAGAAATATTGGTACCTATATGTAATGTACCTATTGAATACAGCTGTTTTCTTGTTAAATTTCGAGGTAAGTTTGTGTTTTTTTTTCTATAGCGAACATTTTTTTTTAAATTTTTTTTTATTGCGACTCGGCAAAATGACTGCACCGCGCCTGATGGAAAGTGCGAATACAGTCCAGAGATGAGAGCAACGGATGGAAAACACAAATATCTTCACTCCGTCACTATCATTTTGCCGGTCTGGCCAAACACATTTTTAGGAATCGTGTTTTTATACCGGCTTCAACGCTTTCACTGTTATGTAGAATCAACCAAATCCATTTGAGCTTGTATCGACTCTTTAATAGAATAAATCCTAACATAAGGTGTGCAATAGTAATACAATCAGGAGTTCATGACGTAATCTTAAATCACTTTAGATTGATAAGCTTAGAATAATAACGCATAGAAACCTAGTCCGCACACGCTAAGTGAGGCAAATTGAAGCGCGCCAAAAGGGCCTACACGAGCGGGCGGGCCATCAGTGCTCAAGGTCAACTTGCACCGCGAACAGCTCAAGAATTTTAGCTAAAAATGACGAAATGTGCGGTAAATGAGTGTAAAAAATACGTCAGACAAACATAAAATAGATACTAACATCACGTTCCACAAGGAAGTAACGCGTTTCAACTTGTATTTTTATATAAATATTCACTAAAACCGAAAATTAACCTACTACTAAAACTAGCCTACATGAATTTGATTTTTGCCTCACTTGTGACAGTTCGTTTGATATGAAACTATCATTCTATGCGTTATTATTCTAAGTTGATAAGGTTTGTATTGGGTATACATAACGTGACCATTATTTACTTCCCTCAGAGCGGGACGCTTGTAAGTTGTAATGAATCAACAATTTAACAAAAAGAACTAATCTTGTATACCAGCTTTGGTATTCGATGTCTGGTTTGCTGGCTTTAAAATATTTTTCGCTTTCGCGCCATCTTTTAAATCTTTTCTTACGTGTGTTCTGTTTAGTGAAAGCGGGACATTTTTAAGTATTTTGGGGACAGTTACGTTAGGTATACAGGGTTATTTGTAGAGGACTAAAAACCTCGCGGGACTAAATTGCTGACATCGTAAAAAACAACTTTTGTTCCATGACTTAATGATTTTTACATTCGTACAAAAGTAAAAATATTTAATTAGATCGCCCTAAGCGGTAACAAAATAAAGTGCTCAGTACCTGACTGATATTATTATTATAACTAACTACCTTTATATACATTACAAATCCTCATTAAAAATTTCAGATGGTACAAAAAAACTTAAAACTTTATATTTAGTTAAAAAAAAAACTTAAAAGTTTGTTAGTTTTTTTAACAAATAACCATGGATATGGTTATATTAAGCTCAGCTTACCTGTTAGCAGGGAGTCCAAAGCCATCTCGAGCCTGTAGAAGTTCTGGATGATCACCAATAGTATCCGTGAGTGCTGCAATCATCACATCTGAAAAAACGACTTTATTTAAAACTTTGCTAAACATTATATAACCTATTCTTGCTGTAGCGGCATTAATTTCAAGCTGTAGGAAAAATAACATTTTCGACTCACCCAGTACTTTCTTCTCAATAGACCTCGAGAGCTGTCCCCTTTCGGCTTCTAATTCGAGGAAAGCCATGAATCGCTGTGTTGCTGCGCGGGCCGACGCCGGGTCTCGTGAAAGAGATTGGGAGAACATCATCTGAAATCCAAATAAGGATTTTCTTAGATAAGAATGCTTTGGGGTACGAATATATCGCACACTATCTATCCTTAGGTATGGTGTGATTTTCTGGGGTAACTCTACCTACAGAGAAACTATATTTAAAGCCGAAAAGTGATGTGTCAGAGCCATACTAAATATTAAAATAATATTAAAAATATTAAATACACTGACAGTTGCCGATTATTTTTCCGTGACCTAAAATTACTAACCTTCCCATGTCTGTACATCTTTGAGGCATCTATCTTTGTTAAGATGAACTTGAGTGAATTTCTAGAAAAAGTAAGTTCACAAGGGCACTTATTTCGTACCAGGAAATATATGTAAAACGGCCCTATACAAAAATAGCGTTGTTGATATGGCACCCAAAATATTTAATAAAATTCCAGACGCAATAAAAAATCTTAGTGGAATGCAATTCAAGCATGTATTAAAACAATTATTAATTGACAAGTGTTACTATAGCATAGAAGAATATTTTATTGACAGTTTCTTAGAATACGTAAATGCTGACAATTGGGTACCATTTAGTTATAATATTTTTAGACTTTTTAATTATTATTAGTTTTTTGACATTGTATCCATTTTTCTTTTATTTTTATTTTGACATTACTTTTTTATTTAATTGACTTCGTATGCCACTTTGGCTTATTGCAGAGATTCCATAAAATTATTATTACCATCTATATCATGTACCTGTAATAATGAGAAATTAAATGTCCAAAAATTGTGACAACTGCAATTTCTTACTCAACGAAGGTTTTTGAATGCGGTTTTCATCTAAAACAAAAGGTAACCTCATTGACTTACAATTATATGGACGTCGTGTCCGCGCTAAAAAGTGTCCGAACTTATAGGGCGTTAAAATCGTATACAGAGCGTCATTCACGCTTTAGTCTTGGTTTGTTCGACTGACAGCGAAGCAAGCAAAATTAGACAGTACTGCGATGGCATTACAATTTAAATTCAACGTTTTAGCTTTTTCATATTCCTTTACATGTCACTACCTTTAAATAGGTTGACTTGGGACATTTTTTTCGTGGTTTTTGTATTAGACCCGTCGTCCATTTATTTGTAAGTCAATGTTTTACTCAGCGGTCGCTGTCACTACCAAAAAAATTTCGCTATCGCGCTGTCTCCTATGCCCCGTTCCCCTTATACAGCATAACGTCATTACGCCATGTAGCAAATTCTAGGCAAACAACGTACACGGGGGTTCTTGCGTTATAAAGTTCGTACTCGTGTGAGTACGTTCGTACGTGGGAGTGACCTTAGATTGTAAACTTCAATGGTTTCCACATATATCTTCCCTGGCCAGCAGATTAAGCTCCGCTGCATACGCAGTCCGCAGAATACGTGAGCTTTCCGATGTTAGTACTGCTAGACTAGTTTACTTTAGTTACTTCCATAGTATAATGTCCTACGGGATTCTCATGTGGGGTAAAGCGGCAGATATTCAAACCATATTTGTATTGCAAAAACGAGCGATTCGTT